ACCCAAAATAGGTTTAGTGGAAACTAAGAAGGTTAATCAGGGAAGCAATACTAAGAAGAAGTTTAAGAGTAGGGACAGGTCTAAGTCTAAAACTGGGAATAAGAAATGCTATGGGTGTGGGAAAATTGGTCATTGTATAAAAGATTGTTATAAGAAGAATAATGAACAGAAAGGGAAATGAATTGATGTGGGAAATATAGTTGAACCTAGTGATTCTAATTCTGTTTATGTCTATGTGGTGACTGAACCTTCTCTTGACTGTGATTCTACAAATATTGTTGGTAGTGAGAATCAGATCCAGGAATGGATCCTAGATTTTGGTTGCGGCCACATGTCTCCAAAAAGGAGTTGGTTTAACTCTTTTAATGAGATAAATGGTGGAGAGGTTGTGATGGGTAACAATATTGCCTGCAGAGTTGAAGGCATAGGTGATGTTACATTGAAATTTGAAAATGACTATATCTTTACCTTAGAAAGGGTAAGATATGTTCCTAAATTATCTAGAAACCTAATTTCAATGGGAAACTTGGATGATTTAGGCTTGCTAGGTAAGGTAGGTGATGGTTTATTAAAGGTGATGAGAGGATCTCTTGTGATGTTTAAAGGTGTTAAGAGGAATGAGATTTATGTTGCTAAGGCTAGGCTTGTTGTTAATGAGATTCCTAACTGTGAAAACTGCACCTTAGGAAAACAACACATATTACATTTTAACACAGGAAAGCACGTATCTACCTCTGTCCTTGAATATATACACTCTAATTTATGGAGGCCTTCACCCACTATCACTCAACGAGGAAATATATATTTTCTTTCCTTGATTGATGACTATTCTAGGGAGGTATGGATTTATTTTTTAAAACACAAATCTGATTTTTTTGGGAAGTTTAAAAACTGGAAACTGTTGATAGAAAACCAAACTGGAAAGAAAGTTAAAACTTTTAGGACTGACAATGGCCTTGAGTTTTGTAATACTGAGTTTGATCTTTTATGCATTGAGAATGGTATTAGAAGACATAAAACAGCTCCTTATATCCCTTAGCAGAATATGGTGGATGAGAGGATGAATAGAACTTTGTTAGAGAAAGTGAGGTGCATGCGGTTGGTTCAGGCGTGCGTAAAACCTTATGGGGGGAAGCCTTGATGACAATCACTTACATTGTTAATAGAACCCCTTCAAGTGCTCTTCGTGATAAAACACTTGAAGAGCAATGCACTAGAATTATACTTGACTACTCACATCTAAGAGTTTTTGGATGTGCAGCCCATTTTCATCAAAACTTAGGGAAATTAGAACCTAGGGCCCCGACATGTATTTTCTTGGGTTATCCTGATGGGGTCAAAGGTTATAGGTTGTGGAGTAGTGAGACTGGTGGTTTTAAGATCATCACTAATAGGTATGTTACTTTTGATGAGCTGAACATACCTTGTTTGAAAGGTAAAGTGTTTGAAAAGCATTTAAAAGGGTTGGAAAGTGATAAGACCAAGTTGCAGGTGGAGCTTGGTATGCCTTCTCAACCTGTTGAATCTGAACAGATTGAGACAGAGCCTAAAAATGGTGATCTGAGTGATAACAGAGAAGAAAATGATGTTCGGGAAGATTTAGAAGAGCAAGAGAGTGAGGTTAGTGAATATTAATTAACTAGGGATAGAGTTAGGATAGAAATTAGAGATCCTGCAAGGTTTAGAGATTAACTGACTCTAGCTTTACTTTCTTATCAAGATTTAGTTTTTAGAGAGCCTAAATCTTATGAAAAAGCCATTTTTTGTCAGCAATCTAAGGAATGGAAAATTGCTATGAATGATGAAATGGACTCCTTGATTAAGAATGTGACTTGAATTTTAGTTCCTAGATCTCCAGGCAAATCCATTGTTGATTGCAAGTGGATTTTCAATATTAAGGAGGGTAACACCGAAAAGGTGCCTATAAGATTTAAGGCTAGATTTGTGGCAAAATGTTTTACACAAAAGGAAGGTTTAGATTATAATGAGATTTTTTTCTCCTGTGATTAAATATACTACCATCAGAGTTATGTTGGCTCTTATTGATCATTATAATCTTGAACTTGAACAAATGGATGTAAAAACTGTATTTTTACATGGTGATCTTGATGAAGTGATTTACATGAAACAACCACCTGTCTATATTGATAAATCAAAATCTGATCATGTATGTCTGTTAAAAAGATTTTTATATGATTTGAAGCAATCGCCAAGACAATGGTACATAAGGTGTGATACTTATGTTTCCTCTGTTGGCTTTATTAGAAGTGAATTTGACCATTACTGATATTTTAAAAGAGATGATGAAAATGCTATTGTTGCTTTTATACTCTTACATGTGGATGATATGCTTCTAATTGGACATAATATGCATGTCATTAATGAAATTAAAAGGTCTTTGAGTGCTGAGTTTGAAATGAAAGACCTTGGACATGCTAAGAAGATATTAGGCATGGAAATCTCTAGGAAAAGGCATGAT